ATATTAATTAACAAATTGGAAACATCAAGGAGATGGCTGGTTTTAAGTACCACACCTCTACAAGCTCTAGCTACCAAACTGGTGAGAAACACTCTGTTAAGGGATAAAGAGGTCCACAGTTCTGTGAAAAACCTTTCTTGAAACTAGTTATCTATGTCAGGTGATTTCTTAATTATTTCAAAAAAATAAGTGGTGGAGAGATGCCACTTCCTCCCACCATTTTTTCTGAGCTCATGCTTAAGAGTTGCAAGAAAAGCCATTTACTTATGGAACTTAATAAATGAGAAGTGTTGAAAAGTGAAGACTTTATGAGTGCTAATTCTTCCTTTTCCCCACTGTGTATGACCTAGGCCAAAGCTGCCATGGATAGAAGTGTCCTTTCCCATTAAATAGTAATCAAAAAGACTTCAGAAAGAAAAATATTAGGGGCAAGGTCAAAGATCAAGAAAGAAGCTTTATTAGTGGAATGTGAAAGTGATGCATGTCTGCAAATTAATCTAATGACACACACAAAATTCTTCAGTTTTAAATTTAGATCCTCTCTTACTGTTATTGCATGGTGTGAAAGCCTAATGAAGCTCTGAATTTTAACATGGCAAAAGTTTGTACTTATAAATATGTATGTATGGGGTTCTACTATCTCTGGTGTTTATTTTAAAGGAATGTCCAACTCAGATCCCATGGAGAAGCAAAATAAACATCGCTATTTGCTCATATTTGGGGGCTACTAAACCATGGCTTCTAACAGGACAAGCATAAAATAAAATATAGACACATCTTTTGCATGGTTTTATTACTTCAGCTGGAGCTATAAAACACTGATTGTAACTTACAGCTTCCTTATTCTTTCCTCATGACTTGTCTTGAAGTTGGGAAAGATTTTTTTTTTTTTTTTTTTTTTAGTCAAGGATAGTTCTCAGCTGCTACTTGATTTTCAAAACCAAAAGGGAATGGCTAGAAGAAATGCATCAACAAGCAAATACTTAGCAAGCTTCCCTGCATTTCAGCTTCAGAACTGGTGTCTACCCAATCCCTAAATATTCTGATGTCAATAAAACTATTAAATCCCTTCTGGAAATTGCTGCAGTGAGAAGCAAACTACTGGTGCATTTGTATAATAAGGGAGCAAAACACCAACACTATGACATTTTGCAATTAAAACAATAAGACACAGTGACCCTTCTTGGTCACTCATTTCTTTTTCAACCTGATTGAATTTAAAATGAGGGAAGCATGTAAAAATGAGGCAGAATGGAACTGCTTTTGAAGATGATACTTTGTATTGATGTGTTCATCAGAGACCTGAAAAATCTCTAGATCCTGAGTTACTCTTTTGTATCTTAAAGAAAATGAGGTAGTGACTGCAAAATACAGACATTTTGCACTGACATTTAAAGCATTGTGTTGTCTAACTGATATTATTTGCTAAGTATATATGTAAATAAATTAATTAAATTACATGACTAGTTGAAGAGTGATTTTGAGTGAAAAAACAGAATTGACTGCATGTGGGGGAAATCATCAGGTCCAGTCAAAGTAACTTTGGGTAAAAAAATATCTAATAAAATTGAATATAGATTTAAATTAAGTCTAGGGCAAATATTTTTGTACAGATATAAATGTATGATCTCTGCTAAAAAATCATAAATAGTAAATATTACATGTCTCCACATGAAATAAGAAAAATAGTTATTTGCTAACAAACAACATACCTTGAAACATGCAAACACAAAGAAAATACTGTTCTTCACAGTATAGGCATGAACTTCATTCCTAAATCAATAGCTCTAGGTATTTACCACCATGACTCCACTTAATTACTCTCAATCTGAACTAACTACAGCTGAAATAAGGCTCAAGTTAAAAAGAATTTTTTTGAATGTTTCATGAAATATTGGTGTACCTGATTAAAGTAATAGAAAGTATTTCTTGTTTTAATATAATTTCACTGATAAAGTATTTTGTACTTGGTATCTCTGAAAAGCCAAGGATTTCATATGACCAGTTCAGGGTTTTCCATGTGTCTATTGGTTAATAATATTGATATTGATATTAATCTGGCAGCAAACTACCTTTCTGCAAACAGCAACTAATGTCATAATTTTCCTGGAAAAGTTAAAGATTAAAGATGATTTAAAAAAAAATTGGAAAACAAAAATGTAGCATAACTTTGAGAACAAGTATGACAGAACAATTATTGTTTTATTTTCCCTGTGCCTTCATCTCACATTTTTCTGTTCTTGTTCATTTTTTTGTTTACAAGGCCATACACACAGAGTTATTCTCATAAATCTGCCTCCAGTACTTGATTTTTAGCTACTGAGTAGACATAGATGCTATTTACTTCAGTGTTGCTATTGAACATTTCTGAAATGACATACTTGTTAAACTACTAGGAATTTTAGATTGGATATATTGTGCAAGTGTGGCCTGCATAGATACACCTTCTCTACTAAGAGATGTCAGGAGCAGGCAAAATGACTGATAGTTGGGAAAGCACATGTGTAGTGAAACAAGTTAAATGAAAGAAAACACAAAGCAGAAACCAGAGTCAGTGTATCCAAGCAGCAAATGGCAGAGAGAAGCTGAAATGAGAGAAGGTGAGAGCGACAATTAAGGTTGTAGAGGGACATGTGGTGCACTCTGCAGTTAAGTATTAATTACACAAAGAAGGTGAAAATCATGTGAATAATATCTACTAAAGGTAGGCTGATAAGATATCACCTGCCTCCGCTTTAACATGACACCTAAAGCCCTAAGCTGCTATAATACAAAATAGGTACAATGGGTTTTATCTGTAGTGGAGAAGGAATATGGAAATCCTCTGGGTTACTGGTATGTAGGTAGAAGCCAGAAGTGACAACTGAAATACAAGGTTTTTCCTCTTGGCTTAGAGATGTAGGCAGGGCAGAGGATGCTACTAGAGGTGTGGGAAGAATGGAAGTAACAGCAGTCTGGTTTATTTTTTCACAAACTTCTGTTGTTTTGCCAATACCAAATTAGTTCTATCAAGTTTCTGTTCCTTCCAGAGTATATTTCAACTCTTTTACCCAGTCAAATAAGAATATTTAAATTTTTTCCTTCCTCTAAACTATTTTCAAGTAGTATTTCTGAAAACAGGTATTCCAGATTGCAGAAATAAACAGATTTCTTTCACAATGTAGCTCAGGATTAATTTGTACTTAAATTTTCAAAATAAAAGTTTAGGAAACACTAATTTAAAATGAAACCATTGAAGAAGTATGAAAAGTTATCTTCAGGGACTCAAAGACAGATGTGTGATTATTTCACTTATTTGTAAAATACCTTTTGTATAAGCCAAATTCTAGCCCTTATTAGTTGTAATTTCTTTTCATCACAAATAGAATTTTGTTTGTTTTTGTTGGCAAGATTTTGGGTTTTGTTTATAATTTTTAAATCTATGTTGGAATGAATCTGTGAATCTAGAGAACAGAAAATGCATGTGGGATACTTCTTTAATTTGTTAACTGAAGGCTTCTTGCAAGGTAGCGTGAATACCTGTACTTACAGTAGCTATTCAAGGGTTTTTCCCTCAACTGGGATTTGAATGCCGATGACTTGGAAGGCACCTTTCAAGGTCATCTGGTCCCACTCCTCTGCAATGAACATGTGAGTTTGTTTATGCTAATACCTCCTTACCCACCTTGCTAGGAGAAAAAAGAACAAGTAATCTAATACTAAGCCTTTGACATGATATTGAAATGTATTTAAAATAGATTCTGCTATTTCCATAAATTTAAATTTTCATTTGTACTTTTAATAAATAAGTAAATCCAAATCTATTTGCAAGAATCACTACTTACCTTCAGTGATTTATTTTTCAGTCATTTTCCCTCTTATATTACCCTTTCTTTTTCTTTCTCACTGTTCATCCCTCTGCTGTATAGCTATGTTCATTGTACTGCATAACAATACAGTTACTGAAGAATTTTTCTTTGATCCTTTTAACACAGTGGAGAAATGTACATTCCTTCCGAGCAGCATAATTGCCTTTTTTTTTTTCCCTCAGCTCAATATGAGAAATAAAGCTCCTGTAGTTTGAGCAGTTGACAAAATAAAGATGAAAAGTGTATACATCTTTTTCATTTTTCATCACAATACAAGTAATTTCAGCTGAGGAGATCATATAACAAGCCCTGCAACTGCTTGGGTAAACTAGATCCCTCTTAAACAGCATATCCCAGTGGAAACAGAATGTGCCAATTAAATGATCATCCCAATTACAAGAGGCTCATGGGGATACATTGTGCTGGTGTGCTTTATAATCGCTTTCATTTCATGGATTGATTAAAACAAGAACAGTATCAGTTTCCCATCTTGATTACCTAATAGAGATGATTTATTTTGTATCCATTCAGGGATCCTTTCCTGTATCTGTGACAAAAACAGTGGAACTGTTTATACAGTATGTGCCAAAATAAAAAATAACATTTTTATTCCTGTGTGACTCAGCTGAATTGTTTATGGTTTGATGATGAAAACTCCATTGTCTGAGTAATGTGTTTTACTATCAGGGAAAGAATTAGATATTGAGCTATTGAGCTCCATCTTCATCCCAGAGGAATCAACTGGAAGTATTGACTCTTGAACTGAGAGCAAAGCTCAACACATGTTTTAAGCACAGAAGGTGAAATCAATGAGCTGAAATCATCAGACTTCAGTGGAAACATCATTTTATTCAGAAAAATATATATTAAAAAAGGAACTTCTCACCTAAAACTGGAAATAAACTAATCCATCTTATCCTCAAGTAAGACACCTGCCTTTGGTAAAACTTGGAAGAACTGCACACCCTTAGGGAAAAAGCAATTTTTTTGCTGTTAAAAAAGTGGCAAAGAAGAGGATATTCTCAGGAATATAATGCTGTTTTACTGGATTTTATCTTTAAAAAACCCAAAGACTTCCACCCTGAAAAAATAAAAACAAAAAACCCAAAACAAATCAAACAAAAAACCCTCACAACACAGATACTTTCATATATTTTCACAATTAGGAAAATTCAAAGAGCAAATTTTGTCACAGAATAAGCAAGTGCAGTTGAAGCAAACTAGTTATGTTCTTGAGTGCTTCTGGTGGTATGTCACTGACTTTTTGAAACTGTCTGAATCAAGCCAGAGAGGTAAGTTATTTTTATCACTCACTTCAGGTGTTTCATTAGAGCGTGATGAAGAATATCTGAAAGAAATCCTTGGTTCTTATAGAGTCAGTAGGTGACTCCAAGCAGCTAAATTAGATGTCTTACATTCCAGGATGTGATTATCTTGCTGAGAAACAACAGGGAAGTATGCATCTGTATTTTTTACTGATTGAACACTAGATACAGCATACCAGAAACTTAAATCCATATATCAGAAGAAACTTCAAAATAAAACCAGTATGGTATCAGTCTCATTTCTCTAGCTTCAAAATTAGCCAAGAGCTATTCAGAATTTTCTACACGCACAACTTGATATTTTTATTTTGTTTTAATGGAATACATAATTTCAATTTCAGGCAGTTTTTATTTTAAATGACCTCTAATCTGGTCATTAAGACCCTTATTAAATCTTACCATTAATTCCAAGATCTTCAAGATTTAAAATAAGAACATATTTTATTAGGTTAAACATGGGTCTTGGACTTTAAACTTACTTTTAGATTTGAATAAATTATGTCAATGTGTACATGTGAACATCTATACGTATTTTGATAGTAACTTTCATATGGCCATACATAAAAAACTTCAAAAAGATAAGTATCAACAGTAAATATCAACCAATATAAATTAAACAGAAGAGACCACTAATGACTAATGAAAACATATTTCCAGTGCCTTTTTAAATGAGGAAAGCTCAGTAAATTGTTGCAATAAGGTAGAAATGATGTGTTAAATGAGAGGTTTTGCAAAGGAGAGGCTCTTGTGCTGACATGGCTGACAATGTGCAGGCTGAATATGCAGTGAGTATGCAGACAAAAGAAAGACATAGATGAAATTTTGGTATTAAATTCTGCCTGCAGAACTGTCTTTTCATTAACACAAGACTAGCATTCTATCCAAACTCTGCAAAAGCAGAGTTCCCATTACCCATCCTCACACATTTACAGGCAGGTAAGGTCCTTCACTGACACTTACCTTTATCCCTCCTACATACACCTATAATAGATTGGCAGGAACACTTTATCTTTCTCCTTTTTCTGGATCATCATTAAAGGCTGCTGTACCTCCTTGCCTGGCTTTCTATCTTTTCCTTGGCTTTTAAAATGTAAGCTCCTTTAGGAGACCCTTCTGTTATGAGTAGGAATCCAAGAATAACCGCTCTTATGTTTAGCCATCAGCAATTTAATGCTCCTTTCCAGTCCCAGGGGTAACAACCTGTTGCTTTTATCTTTTATATTTTATCTTTCTGTACAACCACTGCTTCCAAGACCATTTTTCTAACATTGCTGCTTATCCTTGTATAGCCTTCTTTGGAATGTAGTATGTTATCAGTTAAATACAGCTCCTGAAATTTCATTTTCTTTTCTCTTCAGGTATCAAAATCTAGTTAAGTAGTCCATTACAAGGGTTTCACCCCTCACAGTAAGTTTCTTGGCTTTCATGACTCTTGAGGGGGAAATAGTCAGTGTGATCAATGAAGAATTAAAAGTGCTGCTGCTATTGCTGTTAATGGGAATAGTGAGAGGCTTTCCCACACTTCACATTGTCAGTTCACCCTTTGATGTCTAAGACATGCTTCAGGGTAAAACCCAAGTTGTAAAGCATTATAGCTGACAATAACATTTGAAAGAAATACATTTATGTTTTCTTAAATTCAGCTTACAGTGATTGATTTCTTTAGATACAAAAGAAAGATGTAAAAAAAATATTATTAGAAGGTTACCAGAGACAAACTTTCCAATGTCTACTTCTAGCAAAATGCAATTTCTAGGAGTATCTAATGGCCTCCACATTTGTAAGTCAGTATGCCTGGTGCAAACATTTTTAAAGATAATTATAGTTTTGCATATACAGATCCAGCATACTAAATATGCACAGGTGTAATTGATTACTCAATACTTCACAGAATCCATTCCTTTTTCCTTACAATCTTCAATTGAAAACATTTCTGTTCCAGTAAGGAATAACATTGCCTTTTGTTCCTTAGAAGCTAGATCTTACAAAAATTAGCTCCCTTGCTTAAAGAATGGTGCTTGTAACGCCAGGGTCATGGGTTTGATCCCCATATGGGCCATTCACTGAAGAATTTGATAATCCTTGTGGGTCTCTTCCAACTCAGAATTTTCTGTGATTCTGTGAGAATAGTTTAAAAGAAAATATTTTAAAATATTGAGTAGAGACAGATGTGGTTTATTTTTCTGAAAAGAAACACAACTGGAAAAAGTAGTTCTAATTACTTTCAGACTATGACTACAGATGGTGTGATATCCAGCTCCAAAAATTCTCTCATACATATGCTTAGTATTAAGCACATGATTTCTCAGATTCTCAAAATTAGACGCTTATTAGAATTTATTGAGGCTCAAGCTCTGCTAAATTGTCAGTAAACTATTAGCAATATATCTGTTGGGTCTCTATATGCCCACTTCTCTAATAGCATTCAGTGCCAGCAGATATGTATGGTATTGCTAGATATGTAAATGGTACTTTTCAATTCAAAATACAAATAGCAAGTCCTAACTATGAGGCAGAAAACCTGAAAGACTTTTGGAGAATTTATAAACTAATGTACCATCATTTTACATACTTAGGTGGCAAAAATACATACATTTATTACATTAAAGATGCTTACTGAGAAACAAGTCTACAGCACTTTTATTTTGGAAACTGTTTACCTTATATTCTTCTACTTGCTATTTCCTTGCTACAGTAACAACCATTCAAATCCATTTCTGGAAAGAAAAAGAAAGGAAAAAATATAAAATCATTTAAAAACACTGTCTACCCTTTTCTGTACAGAAATTTGCTTTTAGCTGGAGGTAGATTAAAACCTCATGGAAATTGTTTATTTGTGAGAGAAATTTAGGACTTAATGTCATGGATTTGGAATAGTACTCCCAATTTAGTTCTTTCACCAAGACCTTCCAAGTTACACTGCTGATCACTCACTCATCACCCACCCCATCCCACTTTTCCCTCCCCCTCCACCAGTAGCCAGAGAGGAGAACTGGAGTTGCAAGAGGCAAAGATCATGGGTTGAGTGAAGAATAATTTCATGGAAACAGCAATGAGACAAGAAAATGAGCAGTGAAAACAATATTAATAACAAAAGTATTGAAAAAAGAGGGAATTATTCACATGCAAAAATTCTCACTGCAGCGCCCAAGACAATGAACAATGGGCAATGGGTTCCCCACCCTGCCACACTTTGTTCCACCAGAAAGGGTTGCCATCCTTCCCAGAAGTGAGACAGTCACTCCTCCCTCCCCCACCCCTTCAATGATGTAATGGCGTATGAAGTAACACAATATATTGGTCCTGTCCTCTCCTGCTGATCTGGTCCAGAACCAGGACACTTAACAGCAGTAATTTTGTGGCAGGATAAATCAGAAGTATCTCTACTGAAATCCCTGCAATTATGTCTCCTCTATACTGCTGAAGTGGTGGGAAAGCCAGATTATCCCTAAAGAGAGCACAGAACCACCACCAAGAAGGCAATGCAGAAATACCCAATGGATGAGACATGTCAAGAGCCTTGCTTGGCAAACTTCAATTATAGGGCTTGCATAGAACTTGTTCCTATGTCTGGAGGTAATTCTTTGTATATAAGTGACTTCTAATCAAATGCAATATGAAATGTAAATCAAGTGGCTTTTGATTTTATAACCTTCTATTTAGTATAAAATGAAGAAAATATGTTCAAATGTGCTCAATTTTTATGTTATTTAATATGCTTGGATAGAGGCTTTATGCAGTTCTGTATCACTAGAACATGCCAAGTGCACTAGGAATATTTATAGAAACTGGAGTGAATTCATCCAGAATGAGAAAACTGTATAGCTGATGCAAATACTCCTGCTGAATGGAGGACAGAGGGAAAAATGCAAGGAAGAGCATCTCACAGCTTGGTGATTAATAGTTAAAACAGGAGAACAAGGCAGTTTCCATTGTGGCTGTCTGTCAGAATGTTATAAAATTTGTTGCACAATGTTCCTTTAGTTTTGCCTGCTGGGGGGGAATGAATGCTATTCAGTTTTATGATTGTGACTGTTCATGAAAAAAAAGTTGCATGCAGGAATACTTACAGAAATTAGCTTTAAAATTTTCATCTAATAAAAACCCTTGAGGGGTGGTCGATAACACCAAAGGAGTGTTGTGCTGCCCGTCAGAGGAACCTGAATAGGCTGGAGAAATTGACTGATAGGAACATTATGGACTTCAGCAGGTGAAAGTGCTGAGTTCTGCACCTGAGGGGAAATAACCCCATGCACCAGGATAGCCTGGTGACTGACTATTGAAGAGCAGCCTTTAAAAAAAGAGACCCGGTGGTCTTCATGGACAACAGATTAAATGTAAGCCATTTAATCTGCATGCAGGACCATGCAGCATCCTGGGCTGCATTAGGCAGAACACTGCCAGCACCTCAAGAGAGATGATTCTTCCCGTCTGGGTCAACCCTGGTGAGACATGTCTGGAGTATCAGGTGCAAGTCTTGGTTGCCCAGTATGGGAGAGGTGCAGATGTACTGGAGCAAGCCCAGCAAAGATGGTAAAGTGGTTATAACCCTTCTTATATGAGCAAAGATTGACAGACCTGAGACTGTTTAAGCTTGAGAAGGCTCATGGAGCATCTTATCAGTGTACATAAATAACTGATGGAGTCACTAAAGGAGATAGGGCCAAACTTTTCACGGTCATTCCTCATGAAAGGACAAAAAGCAATGGGTTTAACAGAAATGTAGGAAATGCCATTTAAACATTAGAAGAAAACTCTCTTTGATGAGGATGGTTAAATTCCAGCATAGGTTTTCCAGAGAGGATGTGTACATGTATTTGAGCTATTCAAAACCCAGCAGGACGTCCTAAGCAACCTGCTGTAGATGGCCCAGCTTGCAGAGGGAAGTTGGACTACTTGAACGCCAGAGGCAGCTTCTGACCTCAACAGATCTGTCATTCTGTTATTTTGTGGACAGGTAACAAGGCCTGAAGTGTCACTGAAATCACTTGGCCCATGGAGGAAGTTACTGTTTTACAGGATGCAAACAACCAGTTGGAGCTGAAAAGTGATTACACAGGCAAAAAAAGAAAAAAAACAAAAAAACACAAAAAAAAAAAAAACCACAAAAAACCCACCAAAAATCCTTAAAAGTGTGAGTTTTGCAAATTACCGTCTCTACAAGCAAATAATAATATATTTCCACTTAAAATAGCATCCATCTTGGATATTCCAACCAAGAAGAGATTTAATGTTGTCAGTAAATGTTGGTGTTACTGGTTTGAGGAATTTCTTTATCAACAAAAAGTGTGCTAATAATTTTCTGCTACTTTGAAGACAAATATTCATAAGTTGCAGTTTCCTATATCTGTTCTCCCCTCTTGCTTTGTTTTTTTTTTTTTTTTGTCTCCTATAGTGCCCATTGAATGGTGGTAAAGCTGGAATTCAAGTTCAAATAGCTGTGCTGGCAACCTGTCTCACTATCACCTGTTCCTGACACACTGAGAGATGAAAGTGATTTATATGGATTTATAATACAACAAAAAATACAACTACCACAGAAACTGTGCTATGGTTTTTCTGTACTTCATCCACCTGCTCAGTAAGTGGGAGATAATGCTTTAAGAGTTTGATGAATGGAAACCAGGTTCTATTTTAGTCAGACAGTGCTTTTGGGCACCAGATCCATGTCATTCCCAACTGTACACTGTCTGGATGATGGATAATGCCAAGCTACTGGACACATTTTATTCCCCCGGTGTTACAAAACAGTGATGAGAGAATTAGGAAAATGCCCAGAGATTCAACTTGCCAATTTTCCTTTGAGGACCACCCATGCACAAGGAGACAAAGCTGCTGCTTCACATTGCTAGCTTTATAATTTCACAGGTATCAACAGATTTATCCCAGATGTTATGCTGATGTTAGCATGACTGCCATGTCTATTCTCTGCCACCTCTCTTGAGGTATATTGGTAGATGATTCTATCATTTATATATAGTTATGAAGACAGTAAAAAGGCTGATTGGGAACCCACGGATGTATGTCAGAGTCAAAATTAACAATCTTCATAAATTTTGTTAGTAAAAGGCTTTAAAAATATAAGTCTACTCTCTTTTACCCACCATCTCTGTCTATTTTGATGGGGGGGGGCTGATTTTTATTTTAAAGTCTATGAGACAATCAAATACACTGTAGTTTAACATATTAAGGAAAAAAATATTTGCCAGGAAGAAAAAGACATTGCAGAATTAAACTATGCGTCTTTTTCTAAGTGCCAGGAATATTAGGTATGGTATAAAAACAAAGTAGTGTTATAAAGCTATTTGATACTTTGATTGTGTAGTTAAAATTTTCAAATTAGGCTGAAGCCACAACGTACAATAAAGTGTCAAAACAGATATTGTTTAACACTCACACAAAAATATTTCTTCCAAAAGAAAACTAAAGTTTCAATGAGATAGGGAAAAAGAAGACATTGAATGATAGAATCATTAAGATAAGGAAGAGACCTCCAAGGTTATTAAGCAAACACCACATCAACAACTAAATCATAGCACCAAGTGCCACACCTGTTAATTGCTTGTGCACTTCCAAATATTGTGACTCCAACTTCCCTGGGCAGCCTATTCCAATACTTAACCACCCTTTCAGTGAAAAGATTCTTGCTGCTGACCAACCTGAACCTCCCCTGGTGCAGCTTGTTTGCCCTTGTCCTGTTGCTGGTTGCCGGAGAGAAGAGGTTGACCTCCACCTTGCTACAAGATCCCTTCATGTAGTTATAAACAGTAGTAAGGTCTACCCTGAGTATCCTTTTCTCCAGGCCAAGCATCCCCAGTTCCCTCAGCTTCTCCTCATATGGCTTTTTCTCCAGACTCTTCACCAGGTTCACTGTCCTTCTCTGGACTCACTCCAGCCCCTCAGTGTCCTTCTTGCAGTGAGGAGCCCAGAACTGAGCACAGCACTTTGAGGTGCGGCCTCACCAGTGCCAATCACAGAGGGGCAATCACTGCCCTGCTCCTGCTGGCCACACTGTTGCTGGCACAGGCCAGGATGCCATTGGCTTTCTTGGACACCTTGGCACACCCTGGCTCACGTTCAGCCAGCTGTCAACCCAGGAACCCCATGGCTTTTCCCCTGAGCCCTTTTCTAGGCTCTTTATCCCCAACTTGTAGTGCTGCCCGGGCTTGTTGTGGCCCAAGTGGAGGACCTGGCACTTGGCCTTGTTGAACCTTATACCATTGGCAGCTAGTCATCAATCCAACCTGTCCAGGTTCCATTCCTCTGCATAGCTTTCCTGCCCTCCATCAGATCAACACTGCAGCACAACTTAGTGTCTGTGACCTTTCTGAGGCTGAACTTGGTCCACTCATCCAGATCATCAAAAAAAGATAATAAACAGGACTCACTTCAGTATTATGCCCTGGGGAACCCCTGTACTGACCATCTGCCAGCTGGATATGACTTCATTCAACACCACTCTCTGGGCCCCGCCATCCAGCCAGTTTTTAACCCAGCAAAGGGTGCTCCTGTCCAAGCTGTGGGCTGTCAACATCTCCGGGAGAATGCTGTGGGTGACAGTGTCAAAGGCTTTACTGAAGACCAGGTAGACAACATCCACAGCCTTTCCTTCAGTCACTAGGAAAGTCACCTGGTCATAAAAGGAGATCAGGCTGGTGAAGAAAGACCTGCCTTTCCTAAACTGATATAGCTGGGCCTGATACTCTGGTTGTCCTGC